AAAGCCAACCATCACTTAAACATCACTTAAAGGGGGAGACAGGATGAATCATACAAATGGCGAAAACATTTACACCTTCAAAAAAAAAATCCCCTCAAAACCATTAATAGACCTTTTTTTCACTAAAAACATTTTGACCTGTCAGATAAAATGAACGATGACTGAATTCCATTTAGATGCTTAAGTTTCAGTGTCTGCCTTACTGGAACATTTGGATATGACACAGCTCCATTAATGTTAGTAGTAACACTTGTGCTTTTCCTACAGTGACAAGTCAAAATGCCTGCTGGGAAAAAGGATGGTGTCACACTCAATTATATGCAAACACTAATTTTATAGAAGTAGTTGTGTAAATAAGGGAACGAGAACTTGAGAGAGACGTTCAAACCCTACTTTTTCACCTCTGCACACCTGACCAATCAGTCAGCATACAGTTGCACTGTCTCCTTCACAAAGTTACAAAAGTTTTCTGAGGCAACTCCTCTCTTATTCTCCTGCTGGAAACAGGGTTTCAGATGTGATTTGACAGCCTCATTTCTACCAAGCATTTCTGTTTGGCTCAGTTCAGCTTGTTACACTTTAGAAGTTATTTTTGTGTTTCTATTGTCAAAGGTTTTGGAAGCTATCAATAAAACTTCTCTGTTTAATCTTGTTTTTTCATCACCCTGCTACCTTATATTGTCAGATCACGTGATCTGACAATATAAGGTAGCGCAAAAACACTGCAGTTCATTGATTGGTTAAGAGAGAATCGTCACTCTTACTATTCTACCCGCTATTTCTAAATATCCCATAGATTCTGAAAATGTCAACATGCAACCCTGTTTTGTGGGTGATCAGTGATTTGCTGATGTCTCTCTCCATCACCCGTCAAGAGGAAATACAATGGAAGCTGGATTGGGCAGTGGATAACAATCCTAAGGAGTACTATCTGTAGTGGAAATTATAAACAGATATAGGGTTTAGATACATGTCCAGACCAATAACTGTATATAATGGTGGACAATAAGTCTCCACTTCCTGCCACCGTACAAAAATGAAGCCAAAATATCCCAGATGCAGCCGCTGCTATCTTGCGCTGGTGCTAGTCTGTGCAGTAGCCATCTCCGCTGTATCGAGTTCCTGCCCATACAACTGTCCAACCAATAATGAGGAGCCCCATTGATCATACGCACACTGATTGGCACACAGAGCTGTCAGTCATGATGTCAAACCTCCTTTTCACAGCATCAAATAACTAGCTATGATCAAACTTATGAGAAAATATGAACACTTAATCAAACATTAGCGTGATAAGAACTACCTAAAATGACAGAGGCCATCTTTAGGAAAAATTCATTTGACATGTACTTTGAGTTTTTAGTTTGTCTCCCATCCCATCCACTAACATAAAGAGAGCAGGCTTTATGACTTGTATTGCAACCAGCCACCAGGGGGCGATCCAGATGTTTTGGCTTCAATTTTAGGGAGCTGTCATGTTGTCCATCCTGACCATCCATGACCTTAGGTAAAATGGGACAAATAAGGTTTTACATCTTGGGCTCTTTAAATATTAGCAGCTAGTCAACAAAGATGTTATCACATTGTTGCTACAAATGCGCTTTACATGAAACAATAACTTTCTAAAAAAAATCACTGGTCCCACATCTTGCCATGTAAATCATGTAGCATGTTGATTTTCTCATTTTGGTAATAAGAGTGCTGCAACCAAAACAATTACACCATGTCAAAGGTGTGTGTGACACAAGCAAGCGCCAGCAACTAAATCAGTTTGATTGCAATGTTTTCTATTGGACTGTTCTAACTGCCTGTGAGTGGCACGACGTGATGCAGCACACTGTTTTGAGCTAAACTTTTGTCAGACGCCCCAGTTCTATTTTTCTTATCTGTTGCTTGCATTGGTAGAGCCACAGTGGGCGAGGAACAGCCGATTCACACGGTTTAAATGAGGAATTATTTACAGGATTTGTGCTTATTTCACTACAAAAACCTAAATCAGTTGGCATCTGGCTGGAGGGAGGTGGCCAGGAAGATGAACATTTCTGGTAAGAATTGTGGGGGAGGCTAGCAAGCAAGCTTGTTTTACAAAGTGGACATGGTGGTATTATATAGTATGGTATCTTCAACAATGAGATCTATAAGTTACCTGTGATAGTACTGTTGTGAATATGAATAATAAGGAGGTACATATACACCCATTTTTTCAGTGGTTACTCTGGGACCACAGCTGCTAGGTAAACATCATGCGACAGAGTTCCATATCCAGCGCATCCAGCATGGAAAGAGAGTGTCCGATGTAATGCAAAGTGGCGCAATAGTCTGAAGCTTGCACCCAGATAGACATGGTGTAACTTAAGGGTATAACAACAAAACTGGTAGTAGGATTTTGCAGTTTATTTAATGTTTGACTTACAATCAAAATATTTTCAAATTGCACTTTACTTTTATGATGAAGGGTTTTGAGTGAGAACTTACTACATTCATACAAAATGGGCAAAAAAATTTAAACATTTTTCAGAAGTGAAACCAGCAATCTACCAGACACCATAAAATCATGACTTGTGCTATTATGTGCCACTCTGTCATATTACAAACATTTTCAGTATTTTTGTCTTTCAAAAAATATTAAGCATGTAGAATGCAGGAAGGTTGGACAATTTTTTTAAATGAATAGTTAAGTTACATTAATAATAATAATAATAATAATAAACTTTATTTATAGAGCACCTTTCATGCAGGAATGCAGCCCAAAGTGCTTGAACAAAGCAATATCAGAAACAACAAAACAACAACAGTTAAAAACAGCACATCAATTTAAACAACATCAACAAAACAAAAACAATAACAGTGATAAAAAAATCAAATCAAATCAACCCATATTAAAAGCCAAATTAAAAAGATAGGTTTTCAATTTCTTTTTAAAAATAGCTAACGACTTGATGAATTAATGACTGAACTGATATATTGATTTGACCATTTAAAAAACAAACATGATTGTCCCATTTTACCTGAATATGTCATAGGGTGAGGTAGGGGTTCTTCATGTCAAGTTTCTAAAATATTTTACCTGGCAACTTATTTTTTCATAGAAATATAGCAGCAAACCAAAACAAGCTTTAAAAGTGACACTTAGGGCAGCGCACAGAATTCTATTTGGTTTCTTAACATCTACCAAAAAGTGTCCCAGTTCCCTGCCTTCACCTTAGAGTCTATGGTCTGCACAGGTGATGTATCGGTTCCAAGTGTGCTATAATGAGAGCGTTGGGTGGAAACACAGGTAATGAAGCACTTTTTGAAGTATATTGAGGCCTTCAGGATGCCATAATATATTATTTACTACTATTTTGCTATACTGGTCCAGGGGTACCACAACTGTTCAAAAGTGACACGTTTGTCTTTTACCCCCATGAGTCAAATGGCAGTGCTTTTGCTTGAGAATATTGTAGCATTTGTTGAGATACATAGCCAGGAGGGCCATTTTTAGGTTCAAATGTTATATAAGCAACAATAAAAGCCCAGTGTACTGTGCTGTTGATGTTACTCACAGCCTAGAATGGTCCAAATAATGAATAGATCACTGTGTAGTGATAGTGAAACACATTTATGCAACACCTGTGAATGATGGCTGTAAATGTTGTGAAACGTTTGACCTGTGACTGATTGCACTTCATAAACATCATCATAAACAGCCATAGCCACATACATCTGTCATCCAAATCTGAACTATAAGATCAAGGATTAGCTCAGATTTTTTGAAGTGGGGTTGTATGGGGTACTTATCCATAGTCAGTGTAATAGATACAGTAGATGACAGTCAGTGTGCCTCCAGTTTTGAGAAGCAGGCTGGAGTGTGACATGGAAGCTCAGCAATGTACTGCTGTGGAGGTGTCAGCAACAAAATGTATTTTAGCCACCTAAAATCAACATCAGTTTAAGAGCATGCTATATTGAGAGTCATTTCATCGCTTTACCTTTCCATCAGACAGCCTATTCTGACTGAGAAGCAGTTAATGACTTTAGTTCCCCATTTATGGGCACAGCACAGAAGAGCCAGCTGTTCAGGTCAAGACTCAGCTGTCCATTTACATCTAAAGGAGAAAGGTAATTTCCTTCAAGAACAGCGGTGTGCACATCTTGGCCAGAGAAGGCAGATGGTGGGAAAGAGGAGTGAAAGAAGCGATCTACGTCAAACTGGAACGACCATCGTTAAACAGAGGTGGCCTACAACACCACTTATCACCCACTTACAATGCAATCTACATGATGGCTGGGTGGGTCAACTACTCACAAGTGACTTTAACGACTCTGAAACTCAGGGCTCACATGTGACCCAAAGACTCTATAAGGGTTCACACCCACACAGGGTTTCAAGCCTGCAACCCCCTAAACAGTCAGTTAGAACTTAAGAAACCTCTTGGATGAGAAGTGAAATGCCTCCAACAAAGTTCCCATGATATAGCGCTGAGAACTGCTTAGCTTCCATGCTGGACTCCTTTCTGCTTCTCCAAACTGGAGGCCTTCCTCCTGACATCTAATGTTTGTAATATAATAATAATAATACTACATTTTATTTATACAGCGCTTTTACAGCTCTCAAAGACGCTTTACATTTAAAACCAGAGAAAAGAAGTACATACATGTATGTGCAAAGACATAAACAGAAGACAAGGACAATATAAAACAACAAGGTGCAAAAGCATAGTGCAAAACAAAGAAAAGGAGGGCACATGAGGAACCAAGAACGAAAAGCTAATGTTAAAGGTCAAAGGCGGATTTGAAAAGGTGGGTTTTGAGGAGTGATTTGAAGGTGGATGGATTTGGACAGTCACGGATGTGTATAGGGAGGGTGTTCCAGAGGGAGGGGGCGGCTATGGAGAAGGCTCTGTCGCCCCAGGTTCTGTGCTTATACTGTATGTGGATAAGTATCCCATACAACCCCACTTAAAAAACTATACTATCTCTTTAGTTATGTCAAACATAAAATAAAACAGGACCAATTCTTTGCTTTGCATAGGTTCATTCTTACTCCACTTTATTTATTTGTTTCTTTTACTTGTTTTGGTCTTGTGCAAGTAGCAAAATGCTTTGCTCGTTTACAAATCATAATAGGCACAAACAAAAATACAGTACATGCATGCCATCTGAAATGTATCCAGGAGACATACACAGAAACATCAAATCAATGTCATTGCAGTAAAATACAATACAAAATAAAAATGAAAACAATTCAGATTATTATTATGGACGTCAACTAAGATATTATTATTATGAGAAGTAAAAATTTTGCTACAATAATGAAACTTACTAAAATACTTGTCAAGTAAAAAAGCTATGAAAATTGTGGTTATATTTCTTGTCCAGCATGCACCTCATACTTTCATATAACACTCCATGAAGACAAACTCCCTGATTTTTTTAAGTAGTCAACAGCATCTATAAATTGGGGAATTTCCTCTGGAATTTCCTCTGAGTTCAGTTGTTTTAAAACTCAACCCTAAGCTAAAATGAAGTTTCGAGGTGCTGTTGGTTCTGTTACAAAATCAGAAGTGTATTTTTAACACACCCATTAGGTAACATCAGGACCAGATACAGGTTCTCTCAGAAATTTCTCCGATATCTACTTCTTGGTCAGTGTTTTGTTTTCAACGTCAACTTCAATGGCAATCAATATTACTTTGTCTCAAATGGAAAAACGTAACTTGGCACCCTGAATGACTTTTTTCCCCTTTTTTGCTGTTCATCCCACTTGCCAGTGCCTGTCTGTCTGTCCAACTGTCCTTCTATCCATTCATGAGGGCCTGGCCTGGCCACCTCCAGTCCCGTCTCGGCACCAATTAATCTACCAAAACACATGAACAGACCTGTTAGTTTAGTCTACAGGGTTTGTCAAATGCAGCTCACAGCCAAGTTTGTGAGTTTAAGACAAATTCCTGTGCAACACATACAAAAACATAAAAACATTTTAAGGATTCTTTTGTACTATGTGTTTACCTCTGCTGACGTAAAATCATCCTATCTACATGAAACCATAAGTAATACATGTTTTGCTAATACTGCAGATGAATAGGAAGCTAGTTTGGTTAGCTGGCAAGTTGCTGCTGGAGGCAAATCCCATCCCAGTTACCTCCTGGACTGTATATAAAAATGGATGACATGACAGCTCCCCAAAACTGAAGGCAAAACGTCAGATCGCCCCCTAGTGGCTGGTTGCAGTATAGGTCATTACCCTTGCCCCCTCCATGTTAGTGGATGGGACAAACTAAAAATTCAAAGTAGGCCTACATGTCAAATACATTTTTCATGAAGATGTTTTTTTGTCATTTTAGGTAGCTATGGTCACACTGATGTATGTTCAAGTGTTTTTTTTGATGAGTTTGGTTTTAAATCAATATCTCAGAGGTGGCTACTGCGTAGACACTGGCTTCAAATGATGTCACCAACACAAGATGGTGATGGCCAATCCGGAATATTCTGGCTTCAGTTTTATGCAATAGGAGGAACTGGGGACATTTAGTCCATCTTTATATGCAGTCTGTGGGAACAACACACACAAAAAATCAAAACATTTCATGATATGTTTTGTAATACGTGTTTACCTCTGCTGACATAAAATCATCCTATATATAAATATATGAAACACTACATAATAAATTTTTAGCTAATACTGCAGATGGTGGAGGGGCCTCTCCCTCGCCTCTCCGATACCCCAGTCTGGCCTTGCCTCCTCTCTTTGTCATATTTTTATTTTATTTTTTGTTTGTTTGTTTCTTCTTCTTCTTCTTCTTCTTCTTCTTATTATTATGATGATGATGATGATGACTATTATTATCTATTATTATTATATTGTATTCTAGTTCAGTATTATTATTATTATTATTATTATAGTTCTATTTCATGCTTTACTATATCAGATTGTGTTTTGTTATTGTGTTATTATACTATATTTATATATATTATCATTAGATTGTCATATTATCTTATACAGTGTTATAGCACACTCCTGTTAAGTTTGTTTTGTTGTACTGTATTATTCTATATAATGATATACCATAGTAGACATAATCTATAGCGTCAGTATTATTATATCATTTTATTACTACATTATAACATTAATATCGCATCCTCTGTCTCTCATCCAAACACCCCCACGCACACACGCTCTCACTCACACATCCACACACACCTACTCACCTACTCCTATATACTCCCTTATCAAACTCAAAAACTGATGTAAGCAGCTACCTGTTTTGTTCTGTTGGTTTTTATTTCTGTTTTTGTTTGTTTTGTTTTTGTTATTTTCTTGTCTGCTTGCTTTGTTTTGCACTTTATTTGTCCTGTATCACCTTGTTTGTTGTCTTGTAATTTCACTAATAAAAAAAAAAAAAGAAAAAAGAAAAAAAAAAAGAAAATCTCAGTGCAGTTAGTTATAATTAGCAGTTAGTTAATAAAAGGGCTAATTCCTGTGTTTACCTCAGTTGGACTCAGAAACATATCGTCAAAAATTGATGTACAGTTATGTAAATGTGGAGTGCTTTAGGAGGCATAGGGTACTAATCCTGATCATTTTTTTCCACATTCAAGGAGATGTAAATTTGCCATGTTTCACAGACAGAATGGAGTAAGCAGGTACCCAAGAAGTGCCCTGGGCTTTGAAGCCAATTTTTGTAATGGCCATACAGTGTTACTGCAGTTTCCTGGGTCCATCACATGATGCCATTGGGCCCCAAAAAGACTTTTTCCCATAGACCTATACTGGGAAAGAGACGTCTGTGAAGCATCACAGCCATCACAAAATGAGTAATTTCGCTATCAAGATTTAATTCACTCAATCCGATAACATTTGGACATGAAAGTCTGAAAGAGCCACAAGATCAAACTGTTGTATACCCATCCAAGTTAGCGGAGCACTAAACTGGAAGTCAGCCACTTGGTCAACAAAAGCTAGCTGCTCAGCCATGCCCCGCAGCAGCTGTAAGTCTCTAGTATGCCTGCTCTATGATGCAGAAGCAGCGCTGATCATCTGGGTAATTTCATACCGCAGACATAGAGCAATTTTGGCTTCATGTGCCATTAAGCAACTTTCATAAGAATGAACAGAGCCCTGCCTCCAATGCTGTATCCAGGTCTCTTAATACATCCATGAGAGTAAAGGCCCTGATGCACCAAGCCGATGGTTGGCCGTTGGTCAAAGTTGGGTCGTTGGTGAGTGTCTGCCACCCTCATTGGTGCGGTGTGTCCCGCATCGTTGGCCCTCACCAATTGGCCTTTTTTCTGCCGATTCATCATGTTGATTCAGTGTTGACACAGTAGAGCCCATGAGCGACCCTAATTGGCAGTTCAGCTCTGTGCATGAGAAGAGAAACGGAAGTGAGGAATGTTAACTAAGGACTTAAGTCGAGAGGGAGTGAGGTCGAAACAAACTTGTTTTGTGAGTTAAGATTATTTGTCTTTAGCCATTGATCTCTTTAGCAGAAACATTTACTAATGGTTTGTGTTCTTGTTCACTGGCGCACGGTAAATATGCTATGTTGTTTTCAAATTGGATTGTGTTGTTAATGTGCTAACTGGCTAACTAGCATCAAGACAATCTTCTGGTTTCCCTTTTTGGATGACGATTACAGACAACGGCCATCTGCTGGTAGGGTGGGGTATGTCCTCTCACTCAGGCAAAGGACACGTGCTTTTTGGCCATTGGTTTGGTGTTCATGTGCAACTTTTTGGTCAAGACATGGTTTGGTGTGTCTGGGCTTTCAGACCCCAAGCTGAAAAATAACAGCATTTTCTTTTAATGCATAATCAGGTAATGCCCATAGTATTCACTCTGGTCATGTGGTAACATACTGTAATTGAGTGTGGAACCATAGAACTTGAATGGGGTGTTTCAATGGGCTGATAAAGAGAAACTCTTCATGATCAGGCAGGAGGCCTTTTTCTGCTAACACAAGAGGTCTTCACATGGCAAACAGTCAAAGACCACGAGAACTACGTCAGTGTCATTACTACATAGATTTCCAATTAAGCTCTGTTCATTACATCTCTGGCTTCACCTGTCTGTTGAAGTGGTAGCCTGTTGTCATTCAGGGCATTTTCACACAAACAAATATTCCTCATGGCTTTATTCAGACATGACTGTTATGGAAAGACCCCTGCTGCTTGTGTAATTTTTGTCAGCTGTTAAAGAATGATACAAAAGTAGAAGAGTGTTTCATGTTTTTTTTATGGTAAGTCAACAAAAACAACAGGTATTTTTGTAGATGGTTCTTTTGGGGGGATTTGGGGACTTCATAATTGCGTCTTTGCTTTTTGCAGATGATGTGGTTCTGTTGGCTTCATCACACCATGACCTCCAGCATGCACTCAGGCGGTTTGCAGCTGAGTGTGAAGTGGTTGGGATGAGAGTCAGCACCTCCAAGTCTGAGGCCATGATTCTCTGCTGGAAAACAGTGGATTGCCCTCACTTCAAGTATCTCTGGGTCTTGTTCATGAGTGAGGGTAATCTGGGGCGTGAGATGAATGGGTTTGGTGTGGTGAAGAGGGAGCAAAACTCTCAGTTTACTGGTCCATCTACATCCCAACCCTCACCTATGGTCATTAGCCTTAGGTAGTGACATGCGGACACAAGCAGCCAAAATGAGTTTTCACTGTAGGGCGTCTGGGCTCAGCCTTAGAGATAGGGGTGAGGAACTCAGACATCTGGAGGGAGCTTGGACTAGAGACGCTGCTCCTTCGCGTTGCATCTGATCAGGATGCCTCCTGGGTGCTTCCTGTTGGAGGTGTTCCAGGCATGTCCCACTAGATGGTGGCCCTGGGGCTGACCCAGAACACGCTGGAGGGATGATATATCTCATCTGGCCTGGGAATGCCTCGGGGTCACCCAGGAGGAGCTGGAAAGCGTTGCTAGGCAGAGCAGCGTCTGGAGTACTTTGCTCAACCTGCTGCACCAGCGACCAGGCCCCTGGATAAGCGAATGAAAATGGATAGATGGATGGTTTTTCCCTCCGCCATTCCCCAAAAATTCCTTTCCACACAAGCACTCCTATAAAAAAATATCCGTCCAAATGAAAATGCAAAACATAAATATACCTGTGTACATGTGGACAAGGTCACAGGCTTTATTAATGATGGATTCTAATTCTTATTTTGCTGTTGAAGATTATATTATAATAAACATGAGGGGTGCTTGCCTCGTCTACTCAAAGTGAATCCCGGATTGGGATTTACCGTTTCATCATTTATAAAAACTTCATTCATTCATTCATTCATTTTCCGTAAGAGCTTATCCTGTTGGGGGTCACGGGGGGGCTGGAGCCTATCCCAGCTGACACTGGATGAGAGGCAGGGTACACCCTGGACTATCGCAGGGCTGACATATAGTGACAGATAACCATTTAAACTCACATTCACACCTACAGGCAATTTAGAGTCACCAATTAATCTAGCCTGCATGTATTTGGACTGTGGGAGGAAGCCGGAGCACCCAGAGAAAACCCACGCTGACACGAGGAGAACATACAAACTCCACACAGAAGGGCTCCTCCACCCTGGGCTTAAGCCAGGAAACCTCTTGCTGTGAGGCGACAACCTAACCACTGCACCACTGTGCCACCTATTTATAAAAATCACACTGCCTATTTTGTAATGTTCAAGTGGTGCAGAAGTATAGAATGACACCATGTAAAGTTTTGTATATAATTCCTATTAGCTAAAACACTGTTTTGCCAGATGGTCATGTATTCATACATGAAGTTGGTCTGAGAGAAAAAGTACTGCTAAAAGGAAAGCAAGCATGCATTTAATTTCTCTCTGCATGTTCTACCTTGTGCTGCTGCGGCCTTTATGTTCATCTGACATCATTCTGTTCAGACTTGTCATATTAAAGGTGATACAGAAATGTTTCAGGTCCAACCTTGTCAGATTGTCATCATGACTTTAACAAACATTTGACCTGGGTGCTTACTCAGACAAGAGACTAACATGTTGAATTGCTATCAACTTAACATTAAGAGGTGCATGTTTGACAGGGGCTTTAATGATTGATTATAAAGAAACAGATAATGCTGAAAAATTAAACTGGACAGGAAAGTCAGTGATTACCCTGAGGATGAGGAGGGCACCTTATTTTTCATTTTCAACTACTTCTACCTTTTGAAATGGTGAGTATGAAGGCTGCTGTTACTGCTAACTCCCTCAAGTATTTTCACCCAATTTAAAACAATGACAGAAGACTAAATATTCAGAAACCTCTCACTATGATGCAACACTAATCAACCGTAGCTCAAACTGCAGCCTCCAAAATGACCGTACAGTTGAATAAACTTCTCTAAAACAGCTTAAACAAAAATGGAACATTATAACCTTCATGAAAGTAGGGTTTATGGCAGGACTGTTGGATTAAACTGCATTAGTTTAACTCTGTGTATGCTAATAAACTAACAACTTATTGCAAATGTAGATTATGTTGAGACAACTTTGTCCTCAGTTGAGTTAAGTCCAAAGTGCCTGACTTTGCTCTCACTTGCAGACAATCTTGCTGGTATTTGACAGTAAAACTACTGTTGGTATTGGGGAGTTTGGCGTAATCATCTTTTCTCAACTGTGCCAAATAGTCAGTTACACAGTCAGTCCTCCTTATCCGTTGCGAGGATCCTAAGGACAGAGGGATGCCGTATGCTGTAAAGCCCTGTGAGGCAAATTGTGATTCATAATGTTGGACTTTATAAATAAAATTGATTGACTGATATTGTAATCTCACTCTGGCAAGCCTATAAAGTACACCTGTTGTAGGAGAGGTAGCTTTAGCTGACAGCTAGCACTTCTGGATGCTCACAGGAGGAAACTCGTTCTCGTCGTCCAGAGACACAGGTCCAGCAGCAAACTCATGCTCTGGAATGACTTCCCCTTTCTTTACACCACCGTCTTCAGAGTAGCCTGGGTAGACACAGGTGACAGAGGCAGACCAATCATGAGAGCAGCCTCAGCTTTACTTGACACAAGCAGACCTCAAATTCACCATATACCCTGAGTTCCCATTGGATCTGCTCAGTTTTACCTACATCTAGGTCTAAGTATGATAGTAAGTAAAGCCTAGTTCACATTACATGATTTTCACCGTGAATGTGATGTCACAGAGGATCTTGACAGCCCCCTTGGGTGAGTCGGCAGGTAGTTTGCCACGACAATTTGGGCATGCTCTCTAAACGTAACCTTTCTTGATATATATCTATATAATAAGTTATTTAAACACATGATAGTCGCTTCTTTTGGGCTTGTTTCCATAGCCCTGGTTGCTTGTTTCTCTACTAAGATCTGGCAACACTGACAAGCCAGCAAGCAACAACAACAATGGCGGCATCCACAGGATCACTGGGAGTGCGTTGTGTTTGGACCCAGGCCCTTGAGGCAGATCTGATTCAACACTGGGAAGAATATCCATGCCTTTATGATGTGTCGTCTCCAAGTTAAACGTAGTTTGGTGACGTCACCGTGTTATCTGGGGCTCTGTCGGCGAGGGCTCTGTGGAGAAATCTTGTGGTGTGCACACACAGGTCGTAACGCAGTTGGCGAGACTCCTGATGACAGAAACACACGTCGCCAGGTATGAACACTCAAAAGATTACAATAGTCTCTGTGACGCAAAATCAGGGTGAAAATCATGTAATGTGAACTAGGGTTAAGCAACAAGCAGGGGTGGGACCAAGTCATTGTTTTGCAATGAAATCTCAATTCAAGTCCCAAGTCAAGACAGGCAAGTTCTGAGTCAAGTCCAAAGTCAAGACAGGCTAGTCCAAAGTTAGGTCCTCACTCAAGTCCCAAGTCAAGGGAGACAAGTCCTGAGTCAAGTTCCAAGTAAAGACTCACAAGCCAAGGGTCAAGTTCCAAGTTCTAAACTTTGAGTTTTGAATCCTTAACCAGTCACAATGTGTTCTTTCCCAAGATAATGCCATCTTAACAACATAATAATAATAATGTGTTACATTTACAAAAATCATGTATGCTTTTTACAATTTGTCTTTATTCCTTAAAACAGTTTGTTAAAAAGTTACTTAGCTGTTGAGGTGATGTTAGCCTAGAATTAGCTCGCTAACAATAGCCCCTTTTCAACCAACATTTCCAGGAACTTTTATTACCAGGAATTTATTTACCTGGGAAAAACAATTCCTGGTAATCTGTGTGGTTTGCCTTTCCACCCACCTCAAAGTTCTCGGAAATTTATTCAAATTAGCATGATGACATAGATGATTCGACTTGTGTCCTGTATTTGGCTCCGCCAGCTTGGCTGGTTACGTGCTGGTAGAGGGTTGGAGCTGTTTGTCTCAGCCAGCAGCTAAGTTTTAAAGTATTTTAAGATAAGTGTCAAACTAAGTTAGTCTACATAAAGACAGCTGTTGTTTGAGCTTAGTAGTTACAATTCGCTATCAGCTGAACTAGCGTGCTGTCCTTGTGTAAGACATAACGTTAGTGTCGGTGTATGAGAGACTGTGGACAGAGCATAATGAATATCGCTGTCTACATGTTTACATGCTCATGCTTGCTGTACACATGTATTGATAAAGTATTGGCTTCTTATTCGCTGAGGTTTAATGTCACTTACAGTAACGAGTGTAGCTGCTGTTAACTCGAGTCATTTTCGAGTTATCTTAACTTCGTTACACCGCTGTTCACCGGTTATCGTGTCGCATTGATGTATGTGTCTATGGATGTGAGAGTGTGTGTGTGTGTGTGTGTGTGTGTGTGTGTGTGGAGGAGTTCAGCGCCGGCACAAAAGAGCCGATACCGTTAGCACTTATCAATACTACGGTCTTTGATAATTTAGCCCCAGGGCTAATTTAGTATCGGATTTCGATACCCATCCTTAATCAAAACACAAACGAAGTGGAGCCTGTAGAAGTGAAATAAAATTTGCAGCAGTTGCCCGTACCAGGAAGTGCGGAACACTGTGTGTGTGTGTTCCACCGATCAGCATTCTTCAGCACACAGCCCCGCCCCTCAAGAATTCCAGGTAATCTGAAAAGTCCTACCCCCCTACTAGGTACTTTTTCCAGGGTAAATTTGGGGTTGAGGGAAAGATTTTACCCAGGTAATTTCGGTGGAAACGCACAGAGGTTTTTCAAAATCCCAGGTAAATTAGAAAAGTTCCTGTGGTGGAAAAGGGGCTAATGTTAATATTAGTCCTGTCAAACCATTCTTTGTGCAACTTCAAATGTCAAACAAAGTTGGAAGTTGTTGAGTCTCCATTTAATTTTTGACCCATAAATTTCTATTTGTACTTTTTTTGGTTGTTGTTTTTAACCATCTCGTAAAATTATCTTTGATATAATTTTTTTCAAACGCTACTCAGTAACCTAACATATGTTCTTCATGGTTCACTTCTGCAACCTGACGGGATGTTGTCAGATTGGCTCAAACTAAGTGGATCTGGGGCTTAAGTGTTGACTTGCTGGGAATGAATAGCGTTAATGTTTGTCGATTCAGGAAATGAAGTGAAATTAATTGACTCCAGGATTCAAACACATTTTTATCAACAAATTTCTGACCTGTCATGACTTGTCTATGCCCCTGAGGCAAATTTCCATGACCATACCATGTTTCCCCTAAGATCTTTTCCAGCAACAGTGCTCATATAAGTGAGTTTTGGCTGTTAACAAGTGGAACGCACAGACAAGTTACCTACATTAAAAAACTGTATCCAAATAGTGTAAGAGGTTTTTGAGTGATGACATTAAAACAAAAAACTGTTTTAATTGCCCCTAATCTCCCCTTATCAATCCTGCAATTTACCTCAGAAAGCCAGCTTGTGTCTTTATATAACTGGTAAGAATAATGGTAGTAAGAATTAGCCACCTTGAGCACCCATAGTACCTCAGCAGTTAAGGCTTTGTTTCTGGAAACAGCACCCAAAATGGTTCTGTGTTTGGCGGTAGTGAGAGGGAAGCACTGCAGCTGCCAGCGGGTGTCACATTGGTCACCAGGTGAAAGCGTTGGTAATGGGACTTGATTCTTGAAGCAGCAGTTTAACATTAGCTCCTTTGGCATGGCTAGCTAATGCTGCCTCTCCTATGTTCAAAAAGTCATAAGTTTAAGTACACTGTCCACATTTAGCACATACCAGGTCCTGGTCTTTCTCATGCCTTGCCTTACACTTGTCTGAGTGAAGCCATACATTAATAAATCAGCATTTTCTGGCATTATGTGAATTTACATCTGGACTAAGTAGAAGCTGTGACTCAGGTCCAAGTCTGACGTTGGCTACGCAGAGAACAACATAACGTCAAGTGACAGGACTGATCTGTCCAAACATTAAATACATTTATACATTATATATGCTCTATACATGTGCAGCAAATTTCCAAGACTTTTCCAAAACCTTCTAGGTTTATTTATTTTACAAAACATTTCCAGGCCTAGAAAATTGCTATTTTCCAATTCCATGACTTTTCCAGGTTTTCCATGACTGTATGAACCCTGTGACTCATGGCCCATTTTTTAGGTATCAAGTATTTTCAAGTCAAAAGGCTCAAGTTCAGGTGAAGTCACAAGTCATTTAGTTTTGAAGTGCAGTTGCAAGTGTTTTTTTGTTTTTGTTTTTTTGTCAAGTTGTCAAGCTGAGTCTCAAGTCATTAAATATGTGATCTGAGTCTGACTCAAGTCCAAGTCATGTGACTCAAGTCCACACCTCTGGCAACAAGCACTTTATTTGAAGTACACTGAGACCACATTCTGACAAGCCGAGGGCAAAGATTGGCTCCACTGGGAAGGTGCAAGTACATGCGTTTTACAAACATCGATACATGATACAATACATATTGAGATTTAAACAATATTACTGTTACTGTTACCAAGAAGAACACCAACCAACATTAGCAGCCTACATGGGTGTGTTTTACGTTGACATTTGATTTGAAATCGCCTAGATTAGTCATGAGACTAACAGGTAAGGTATGGTATGGTTTACACAGTGCTAAGGCTTTCAGAGCTTCCTGTAACAGCAGATGGAGGAGGCAGTGACAGAAAAATGTGGGCATAATTTGGAGAAACACCAATGAGCCTTGACAGGTAAAGATCTTCATGGGCTACTTTTTTGGAGCTGTGGAACACCTACTTAAACCTAATGTATATAAATCAGTTGACGTAAAACAGTGACCCAATCTAGAGGGGGCCTGAGGACGGTCAGACACTGCCAAAAAAAAACCAAAAACCCCTGCATACAACATGCATCAAGCTTTGGTTTAGTGTGGCTATAGTGCAGTACTAGTAAGAGTTCTAACTCTCACTGCCTCTGTCTTCCAAAAATACTCTGCCTACCACAAGCACTGCAGTCCTAGTTTCATCAAGCTATCACAGTCATAACAATGTAAATAAAAAGCCAGGACTAAAAGGCCTTTGGCTAAACACTTCTATTTAAATGGGGAAGTGATTTCAGCAGTAAGGTTTTAAAAAAAAAAAAAAAAACCTGAATGAGCTGAACTGAGCGAGAAGTCTAATCCTTTCTATTACACACAGATGGAGAAATGTCTGCAACTACTAACCAGTAAGGGTTGCAGTAACTGGACCAGCGGCTGGTAAGGCAGCAGTCGCAGCATAGGATGGACAGGCCTGTACTGGCCCGGTGACCTCTGACCCTTCTGACTCTTTTCCTTCACCTTGATCATCATCAGTACCAAAAAGCCTAAGAGAGGAAGAGAAAGAAGGAAGCAAGAACACAGAAGTCAAAGCAGTATAGCACAGTTGATTCTTTTCCTTTCAGATGCATTCAGCACTGTAAACAATGACTCAAAGTTTTGTGTTTTACAACCTTCTCATGCCCTTTTATTACATCACAGTATGCAACTGCCACCCATAAGTGTACCATACAGGGGTACAATCCCGATTTCACAAAAGTCAGGGCACTTTGTAAAACGTGAATAAAAATAGAATGTAATTGTAGGAGCCACTGTTTATGGTTTTATATTTGTTTATTGTTCGTGTCCCGGTTGCCACGGGTGACGGTGTGGGTGGATGCGTCAGGTAAAGTTTATATTAGGCACAGGTGTAGCAGAGCAGGTAATGATGCATGGGTGACTGGGAGATCGCACGGTTTTTACCTCTTGCATGCTCAGATTGCCGTATACAACTCTTTTCCTGTCAAATGAAGCATCATTAAATGGGAACCTCACCCAACAGTGGAAGACCGCCTGGATATTCATTCATTCTTTTATTCAAGCAAGTTTAAAACAGGTCTTCACCCGCACCCAGCCGAGTGGCTAATCGTTGATCAGGATAGTTGCTAGAGTAATGACTTGCGAATCTTTTTCAACTGATATCCATTTTGGTACAGTACAAAGCGAAGATATTTATACATTCATTCTGAATTTGATGCCTGCAAAAAAAAGACTGGGAAAGCTATGGAATGTCCACAAAAACACCTGGAACATTCCACAGGTAAACAGGTTAATTAGTAAAAGGTGACAGTATCATGATTGGGTATTAAAATGGCATCCTCAAAAGACTCAGTTGCTTATAAGAAAGGATGGTCACTTTGTGAAAAACTGCTTCGGCAAACAGTCAAACACTTCAAAACAACACAATTGCAAAGAATTTATGGATTTCACCATCTACGATCCATGAAATCATCAAAAGATTCAGAGAACCTGGATTAAGGCTGAAAACCAATACTGAAAGCCTGTGACAGTTGACCCCTCTGACAGCACTTGCATTCAAAGACGTTTGTCTCATCTGAGATGGACTGATACAAAGCGGAAATGAGTGCTGTGGTCTGACAAGTCCAAATTTCAGATTGTTTTTGGAAATCATGGACATCATGCCCTCCAGGTTAAAGAGGAAAAAGACCATCCAGATTGTTACCAGCTCAAAGTTCAAAGGCAGCAACTGTGATGGTATGGAGGTGTGTCGGTGCCCATGGCATCATGGGTAATGCTGAAAGGTATATATACAGGTTTTGGAGCAACATATGCTACCATCCAGATTACGTCTTTTTCAGGGATGTCCCTGCTTATTCCAGCAAGACAATCAATTAGTGTCCTCAGTTCAATATCACTTACTGTGTATTGTTAAAAGAAAACGTGATGTGACACAGTGGTAGTCATGCTCCTGTCCCAAATTTGTTGAAAGGTGTTGCAGCATCAGATTCAGAATGACTGTATGTTTACAAAAATACAATAAAATGTATAATTTTGGACATTAACTATCTTTGTGCTGAATTTCATTGAATGTAGGTCAAAAAGGAATTGCAAATTATTGTATTAAGTTTTTATTTAAGTTTTACGCAACGTCCCAACTTTTTTTGGAATCAGGTTGTATACAACTTTTAGTGAAATTGTGAAAAAACAAAACAAAACAAAAAAAAAAACACTATTCACACCTGTCCCAGCCCCATGAAATCAGTTGTAGCTTCACCTGTGTTTGTGGGCCAACATGCACTCGCCTCCATCCAGTGGATCCACGTTGTAGATGAACAGCTGCCCATCAGCTGTGGCTACCAGTAGCCTCGGAAGCTTCTGGATTCTGGAACATCGGATTGAGTAGGCTATCTGTTTCAGCTGTTTTGTAACAATTACAGACATTCACTTACCCCCAACCCAACAGTAAGAGGAACAATAAAATGATTAATTTACACTTTGTCAACCTAAAAATAGTTTGCCGTTAACCACTTCTATGTACCAGGAAAAGCTGGACCAGGAATGTAGACAACTAGTTCTGTCAGAGTTACACTTACAAGAACAAACACACCGTATGACCATGTGTAATGTATAGTGCTGTAGTCTCCTGGTCGACTGGTTGATTATTTGATGGATATGCTCTCGTCCGACCAAATTCTCATTGGTTGAATAATCACAGTGTTACTGTCATAAGGAGAAAAGTGCTACATCAATAGCTTTCCAGGATTAATCCATTATTTCCTGCGGCGGGAGGGACAGGCTCAGGTACCTGTGAAAATGGGGGTGTTTTCAAAACACCCCTTCGTTTACACAACGTTGAACTCGCCCACCCTAACGCTCAGAGTCGCGGTGAGACAGGCCTCCTGCCTGTTTCTGACACCGTTTTCCTCAGTGGAAACAAAGCTTGTGTTTACTTCTATTTCACAGATAAGAAACAATAAATTGTGAAGACAGTAAAGCCTCCACTAAAATAGCATTTTAAGTCTTGTATGTGATTTATCCTTTAGGGTTTTATACTTCGGGATTTATCCTGGCTTCATATGAACAGAGGAAATCTCTGCTCGTTGCTAGGCTAATTTATACAATGTAAAATGCCATAGGCTGGCGCTAATAACGCTAGCATGTTGTATTTGTTTGGAAAACTTGTTTAGTGTGACAGTTGTTTTGTCGGTGAATCTTGTGAGTTGTAATGGAGCCAAATTGAGTGCCCTTACCTTTCTTAAATGTTGCTGTTGTCCCTGACTTTATATTCAATTTTCAATTCAATTTTATTTATAAAGCCCAATATCACAAATCACAATTTGCCTCACAGGGCTTTACAGCATACGACATCCCTCTGTCCTTATGACCCTCGCAGCGGATAAGGAAAAACTCCCCAAAAAAACCCCTTTAACGGGGAAAAAAAACGGTAGAAACCTCAGGAAGAGCAACTGAGGAGGGATCCCTCTTCCAGGACGGACAGACGTGCAATAGATGTCGTACAGAACAGATCAGCATAATAAATTAACAGTAATCCATATGACACAATGAGACAGAGAGAGAGAGAGAGAGAGAGAGAGAGAGAGAGAGAGAGAGAGAGATGCAGGTAATGACAGTAGCTTACAACAACATTATTGAAAGTAATAATATTATAGTTATAGTTCTGGCTACTGTGGTACAATATGTTGAAAGTATGTATTAATATCTGGCAGTATACATGTGTGACAATAGTCATATGTGTATAATAACAGTAGAAGTATGACTAATGACTAATGATGGCAGCAGCAGCAGGAGGCATCTGGCAGGACCACGGCAGCAGCACAACCACACACGTCACGCTGTCCAGGCACCGCTGCGATATGAGTTAATCTGAGAGACAGTGGAGCACAAAGGCTCCGGAGAAGAAGCCGAGTTAGTGACATCCAGAATGGCCGAGTTAGCAAGATGCAGTAATAGGATGAGAGTGAGAGAGAGAGAGAGAGAGAGAGAGAGAGAGAGAGAGAGGGAGAGAGAGGGAGCCCGGTGTATTATAGGGGGTCCTCCGGCAGACTAGGCCTAAGTCAGCCTAACTAGGGGCTGGTACAGGGCAAGCCTGAGCCAGCCCTAACTATAAGCTTTATCAAAGAGGAAAGTCTTAAGTCTAGTCTTAAATGTGGAGACGGTGTCTGCCTCCCGGACCGTAACAGGAAGATGATTCCACAGGAGAGGAGCCTGATAGCTGAAGGCTCTGGCTCCTGATCTACTTTTGGAGACTTTAGGGACCACGAGTAACCCTGCGTTCTCAGAGCGCAGTGTTCTGGTGGGATAATATGGCACTATGAGCTCTCTAAGATATGACGGAGCTTGACCATTTAGAGCTTTATAAGTTAACAGTAGGATTTTAAATTCAATTCTGGATTTTACAGGGAGCCAGTGCAGAGAAGCTAAAACAGGAGAAATATGATCTCGTTTCTTAGTTCCTGTTAGTACACGTGCTGCTGCATTCTGAATTAGCTGGAGAGTTTTTAAGGACTTACTAGAGCTACCTGATAATAGAGAGTTACAGTAATCCAGCCTTGAGGTAACAAAAGCGTGGACCAATTTTTCTGCATCTTTTCGGGTCAGGATAGGCCTAATTTTCGCAATATTACGCAGATGAAAAAATGCAGTCCGTGAGGTTTGCTTTAAATGAGAATTAAAAGACAAATCTTGATCAAATATTACTCCGAGGTTTCTTACGGTAGTGCTAGAGGCCAGAGCAATGCCATCTAGAGAAACTATGTCATCAGATAAAGAGTCTCTGAGTTGTTTGGGGCCAAGAACAATAACTTCAGTTTTGTCTGAATTTAACATCAGGAAATTGGTGCTCATCCAATTTTTTATGTCTTTAAGGCAGTTATGGAGTTTAGTTAATTGATTACTTTCTTCTGGCTTCATCGATAAATACAACTGTGTATCATCCGCATAACAATGGAAATTTATAGAGTGATTTCTAATGATGTTACCTAAAGGAAGCATATATAGAGTAAATAGGATTGGTCCGAGCACAGAACCTTGCGGAACTCCAAAACAAACTTTGGTACGTAAGGATGATTCATTACGAACGTCAACAAATTGAAAACGATCAGATAAATAAGATTTAAACCAGCTTAGTGCTGAACCTTTTAGGCCAATTAAGTGATCCAGTCTCTGCAGTAGAATTTGATGGTCAATTGTGTCAAACGCCGCACTAAGATCTAATAAAACAAGAACAGAGACGAGTCCTTTGTCTGAAGCAATCAGAAGGTCATTTGTAATTTTAACTAGAGCTGTCTCAGTGCTATGATGCACTCTAAATCCTGACTGAAATTCCTCAAATAAATTATTATCCTGGAGAAAATCACACAGCTGGTCTGCGACTACTTTCTCAAGGATCTTTGACATAAAGGGAAGATTAGATATTGGTCTATAGTTGGCTAACACCTCTGGATCCAGGGTGGGCTTTTTTAGGAGAGGTTTAATTACAGCTACCTTAAAAGACTGTGGTACATAGCCTGTTAATAGGGATATATTGATCATATCTAATATATGAGTGTTAACTAAAGGAAAGACCTCCTTAAGTAGCCTAGTTGGGATGGGGTCTAAGAGACACGTTGATGATTTAGATGAAGAAATCACTGCGGTCAATTCTTGAAGAGAAATTGGGGAGAAGCAATCTAAATATATATTAGATTCTACAGCTGTGTTTGAGGTTAGATAGGTAGGCCTACCATCTGAGGGCAGGAGGTCATGAATTTTGCCTCTAATAGTTAGAATTTTGTCATTAAAAAAGCTCATAAAATCATTACTGCTAAGGGCTAAAGGAATACAAGGCTCAATAGAGCTTTGACTCTCAGTCAGCCTGGCTACAGTGCTGAAAAGAAACCTGGGGTTGTTCTTGTTTTCTTCTATTAATGCTGAGTAATAGTTTGCTCTGGCATTGCGGAGGCCCCTCTTATAAGTTTTGAGACTGTCTGTCCAGATTAAACGAGATTCTTCCAGTTTGGTTAATCGCCAATTCCTTTCAAATTTTCGCGATATTTGTTTTAACCTACGGGTTTGAGAGTTATACCAAGGAGCAAACTTTCTTTGCTTTGTTAACTTCTTTTTAAGAGGAGCTACAGAGTCGAGCGTTGTTCGCAGCGAGCCTACGGCGCTATCAACAAAATGATCAATTTGGGAGAGGTTAAAGTCGGCACGGGAAACCTCTGTTACTGAAGGTATTGGTATTGAATTTAACGACGAAGTAATCTTTTCCTTAAATTTTGTGACAGCACTATCTGATAAACATCTAGTATAGTAACTGTTGCTGAGTGGCGTGTAATCGAGTAAAAAGAAATCAAAAGTAATCAGATAATGATCTGATAGCAAGGGATTCTGTGGAAAGACTTTTAGGTTATCAATTTCAATTCCATACGTCAGAACTAGATCGAGGGTATGGTTAAAACAGTGAGTGGGTTCATGTACACCCTGACTGAAGCCAATGGAGTCTATTAATGAGATAAACGCGGTAGCCAGGGAGTCATTATCAACGTCGACATGAATGTTAAAATCGCCTACAATAATAACTTTATCTGATTTAAGAACTAAACTGGATAAAAACTCTGAGAATTCAGATACAAATTCAGAATACGGGCCAGGAGCACGGTACACTATAACAAATAAAAGTGGCTGCGAGGTTTTCCAGGTCGGATGTAAAAGACTAAGAACGAGGCTTTCAAATGAATTATAATCTAGTTTAGGTTTAGGGCTGATTAACAGACTAGAGTTAAAAATGGCTGCAACTCCCCCTCCTCGGCCGCTGCCTCGAGGAATGTGGGTATTATTATGACTGGGAGGAGTGGACTCATTTAGACTAACATATTCATCTTGACACAGCCAGGTTTCAGTGAGACTGAGTAAATCAATATGATTATCTGATATTAATTCGTTTACTAACACTGCTTTAGACGATAGAGACCTGATATTTAACAGTCCGCATTTAATTCTCCTGTTTTGTCTTTCTGTCACAGAAGAGGTTTTAATTTTTATGAGGTTGTTATGCACAACTCCTCTTTGTTTAATTTTAGATTTAAATAATTTAGGTGGTCGGGGGACAGACACCGTTTGTATAAAACTATGAAAACTATGGCTGGGTAACTGAACTAGAAGCTCAGAGAGGCGTATAGGACTGCGACTCTGAGTCCTGATCTCAACTCTGGGTTGTCAGGGATTTAAATTACTAATAAAGTTTGCCAGGTTCCTAGAAATGAGAGCAGCTCCATCCAAAGTGGGATGAATGCCGTCTCTCCTAATAAGACCAGGTTTTCCCCAGAAAGTTTGCCAATGATTAACGAAACCCACATTGTTTGCTGGACACCACCTGGACAGCCAGCAATTAAATGATGACATGCGGCTAAACATGTCATCACTGGTCAGATTTGGGAGGGGTCCAGAGAAAAGTCCGACATCGTTTTTGCATATTCACACACCGAGGCAATATTAATTTTAGTGACCTCCGATTGTCTCTATTAAGCCGTATTTAATGTGTGTTTTGAATCAACCAAACTTTACAACACTTAACAGAGTCCTCCACCTAGTGTTTTGGAGGTGTAACTGCAGAGTGACAGACACACTCTGTTGCCAACTCCTCAGTAAGAAAAGTAGCTATTGGCTGTCCTAAAAGTTGCTAGAAGTCGCTAAATGATGTCATCGCCTAATTTGCATAATTGTCCATATGCATGTAATTGTAATGGCTGCTGTAGGAGAGAGGAATAACGTCATGGGAGAGACAAAAACTGAGTAAAAAAACACCCTGAATATGTTTAGAACTGCAAATGAACCTTCTTTCAGTGATTTATATTAGACAAAGAAAATTTTACATTTACATCCCGCCCTGACTGTAAACCAGGTCGGGATCAGCCAGCGGCGGTTCCGCGCATGCGCGATTCACTTGCAGTCTGGACGTGGAGGGGTTAACATCTCCTGCTCTGACTGACTGCTGTGAGGGAGGACTGGGCCGTCTGTGAGTGCTTTGAGGCGAGAGAGGAGCCCACGGCAGCATCTGCTGCTCGTTGAGAAGAATAAGAATGATATGTGCTCTCACAACAGAGTCTCCAGAAGTCTTCAATAACATCAGAAAAAGTCGCTAGATTTGTCGCCAGTCGCTTTTTTGAAAAAGAGTTGCTAGAGGGGTCTGAAAAGTCGCTAAATATAGCGACAAAGTTGCTAAGCTGGCAACACTGGACACACCACCACAGAAGTAAAACTAAGGTGCAGATTTTTTTTTTCCCATGACTAATCGATTAGTTGATTATAGGGATGCACTGAAATGAAAATTTGTGGCCGAAGCCAAGTAAAATTAAACGCTTGGCCGAATACCGAGTACCGAATACCGTTGTTTAGTTTTTCATTAGTTTTTGCAGATGAACCCCCTCCAGATTAGAGCTTAGATCGGGCCCAAAAAATCCGGCCCGACCTGGCCCGAGCCCGTGCACGTTATGTCCGGGCCCAGTCCAGCCCGTCCAATTAACTGTAATTATGGGCCCGAGCCCGATTTAAACACGCCATTTTTCAATAAGTTGGCTGTTATAATTAAGAGTATTAAACCACACTTCTTGTTATTTGGATGACAGAAATATGGGATCTTAATGAATGGCGCAACACGGAAGGTATTAAAACAGGTGTTTATTTTAGGATCCCAAGGTCAAACGAAAAAAATTAACAGTGATAAATAGAATAAATAGAACATAATAAAATATATTCAAAACGAATAAAACGAAATCCAAAAAGAACAGGCTAAATTAAGCCGATTTAAACACTCCAAAAGAGAGGAGATTGACTGGCTGCCTGGCCCGTGCTTGCACGCACGTCGCACACACACATACATATTCACTTATTTATAATAGACAAATAGATTGTCTTCAAAATAAATGAATTAGACAGTGCAAACGCTCAGGTTGCAATAAACAAAAAAGCTCAAACAAATATGGCTATTATGCACATAAATTTTGCATTTAGGCTATGATAAATAGAATAAATAGAACATAATAAACTGTATTCAAAACGACTAAAACTAAATCCAAAAAAAAAACAGGCTAAATTAAGCCGATTTAAACACTCCAAAAGAGATGGACTGGCTGGCCTGGCCCCCGGGGTCATTAGATCGGACATGCAGCTCTGAACCTGCGGACAAAGTGTGGCGATTGCTTAGTGCTGCGGCTGTCCACCATATAAATACGTGCAACCATTTTACAACAGCATATTTAAGTATGAAGCTATATATCCTACTTACATGGTTCTACATATTGTCGTGCAAGAACAAGATTGCATCCACGGTTGCTGGTTTTAGAGCAGTCCTCCTCTGCTCCATCGTTAGGCCAGCCGCACTGAACACCCGTTCACTACTGCTGCTGCTTGCTGGGACGCAGAGGACGGATCTTGCACACCTCGCCAGTTTTGGGTAGACCACGCTGTTGATTTTCCACCATCCCAGTAAGTCCCTGTCATCCTCCATGACATGTCTCTGTGAGATATACATGGTCACTTCATCCTCGTGTGATTCAAAATCAACATGTTGGTTCTCCCACTCTGAAAAGTCTCTCTTGGCTTTGGCTTTGGCTTTTGGCGGCGTAAAGCCGGTGTCCCTCTCCGGCCTGTCAGTCTCTTCTGCTGCAGCATCTTCCTCCTCCCCCATCGTTGGCAAGAGCATGGTGCGGATGTGGGCGTGTACTTGACATCATCCTCAGTTGGTTGAATTTGGGCCAGAGAAAAAGAGCAACTTTGTGTAGCATGTCAAGTTTGATTTTTTGCGCAACTAACTCTGCATGTCTCTGGCACACAAAGGCTTGTTGCTGCGAATCTGTGGGAGAGGGCCGGCAGTGTCTTTTCAGTTTTTCAAGCCAGAGGCAAGCCAGGTTCAATGTGGCATATTTGTCGCCTCCCAGCTCTTTCTGCGCATTGTAGAATGGCTGCAAAAAACTGATCAAAAAGCTCAGCGTGTCTGGTGCAATATTTTCAATGCGCTCAAGCTCTCCACGCGTCTCCAGTAGATGTCCTGCACTGACTTGAGAGTGAGGTAAACAGTGCTAAATCTGGTGTCCCCCATTTGTAGCACTGTCTTTGACAACTGAGCAGCCAGGCCAGATTGTTTTATATACCTCACAAGTGTTTTGGCAGCAGATATGGTCTCTCCAATATCTGGTGCGTTTTCGGATAGGGCATCGGTGCCCAGTCCGTGACGCAGGACAGTGTTGATGAGATGATCCATACCAGACAGCCTCTTGTATGGCTCCAGGGCTTTGATAATGTTGCTGCCTTTATCTGTCACCCACACAATTCGGCTCAGGGAGAGGGGGTCTAGGCCAAATCTGTTAACCAGCAGGTTAACTATTTCCCATCTTATGTTTTTCCCCGTTTTGGCATCCTCTGCAGGAAACGCGGCTGTGGTCAGCGTTTTTCCAACTAAGATGAAGTCGGAGGTCGCATAATGGCACGTTATTGCCATGTAGCTGAGCTTCCGATAGTCGTCAGTCCACATATTCGCGCTCATTCCAACATCTCCGGTCTTCAGCACATCCTTGAGCAACTGTGTGAAAGCCTCTCTCTTTTCATCTGCCTTTGCTAAACATGTTTTGGAAATGGTGCTGTGATGAGGCAAGACTGACAGGGCTGATACATGACCATGTGTGGCACCAACATTTATCTGTTCTTGAGCTAACGCTTGGAAGCCCTCTCCACTGACAGCATTAAATGGCCGTATATCCCTGCAGCAAAAGTCCACACATTTTTCAGTAATGGCTTGCTTCACTCTCAGTGGGATGGTCTTCTCAGTTGTCACAAATGAGGACATTGACAGCTGACTTACATCTTTTTTGCCATAGCAGGCCTTCTTCATGTGCCAATTCAGTGTTGAGGTCCCCGTCTTTTTGCTGTCACAAGTTATCAGTACGTCGCACTTCATGCACTTGGCAAAGCCAACGCACATGTTGTCACTGGTGTTCACGACTAACTTGAAGGTGCTCCATACCTCAGACTTTCCAGCGCAGTTGGAGAGTGTTAATTCCCCAGATATTAACTTCTTCTTTGCATCCTGAAGCTCCATTTTGTTACCGAATATTCGGTGCATCCCTAGTTGATTATGTAGATTATGTACCACTTCAGTCAACCAAGATTTTCTTTGGTTGACTACAGCCTGGTAATGTAAATCAATTTCAAAGCCCTCCACAACCTAGCCCACCTATCTCTCTGACCTCCTCCAGGAGTACACCTGCGCTCTTCCTCTGCTGGTCTCCTTACCATCCCCACCTCACGCCTCAGCACCATGGGTGCCAAGGCCCCCCTCCCCTGAAGAGTTATCATTATTAACATTATCATCATTATTATTATTATTATTATTATAAACCACAGAGAAGCTCACATAGCGAGGGTGCAGACATTCCTTTGTCCAGATGTAACGAGGTGAACAGTGGCAAAGGCCCGGTCCTGTCTCATCATACCGGATACCTGAGCAGGGAGGTAGCTGCTGGCTGCTGAGAACATCTTTCCCACATAGGCTGTCCAGGTGTTAGGCTCGTCCCCTCCACTAAATACAAGGTAACAAGTGCCCTTTAGAACAAGTTCATCCAACAACTTGATTTATACTTTCATGAGTACAGTGTTCTCCAAAGTGATAGAATTATTGGTCGGGGCTACAGAAAATATAAGGTGGAATAAACTGTAGCTTTCCTTAAATACAGCACCCAATAGGACACAGGTCTACAAATTCTCACCACATGGTTAAACTGTGTTTAGAGTATGTATGTATGTGTGTGTGTACCTTGGTCCAAGTTGCTCTAGTTTAAAGATATGCACCGTCTCTGTGTTGCTGGATGCACAGAGGAACTGGCCATCAGGGCTGAAGGATAAAGAGCTTATATTGACGTACCTGCAGACAGAGTGCAAAAACTTGAGGAATAATCAAAAATTCAATGTGGATAATTATTAAAGACCATTAGTAGACTATTAACTGAAGCATCTGACCTCATCAGTCTCCTCAGCTCGAGGATCCCAGCCACCAGAGATCATGTGCCATTCAATAACTATAAATCTGTCATCAGCATGTAATGAAGGCATAAGTGCATGTATGCCAATGTACCAGCAAAGCAGCACTCCAATAATGACTCCATATCTATTTGAAATCATGATCTTTGGCTGTGCTCATACGTAGAACTGTGTATTTCTTTAAAAAGAGTGCAGATCACAAATGCTGTGTTTGAACTCTGACCTTTTCATGCCCCGGCGGAACTCAAAGAGACGCAGACCCTCAGGAACAGAGAACACTCGGATGACGGTGCCCTGTAAGGACAGACAGCCAGTGAGGTGTCACTGTTATTTTGGTTTACATGTGTCACTCAGGTAATGGGTCATTTGAGGCAAGTGGGGCAAAGCCTTAGAAATTAACATAATTCTGGATTAATGCAACATGAAACAGTTTCCCAGTTTTAGTTTTAGAAAAGTGGTGTTTGAAACAAGCTTAGCCCTGCACTAAGTGTTCAGTGCCCAGAGTGTGAGCAAGCAACAATATCATACCCAAAGCCTTTGACACTGAAGCACATTATACTAATTTGATGCCACATGGGGCTGATTGCCTGTTGCCCTGCTGCATTCTGCATGGCTATTTGCCAAATACTGTGCTCATAGTTGGTAAAAGTTATTTCTTTTAGACAAGACTGCAACTGTGGTTATCATGAACACTGTGGATTTTCTTCTACAGCACGAATTTGGAAGTTTCCCATTTGAAGAAATACTTCAGATATAAATACCTCAGTGCCCAGCAGCCAGGGGTATGGATATAAACCAAACTGCTGATTAAAAACAAACAAACAAACAATCAAAAACTAGATTTGTTGTTGTATTGCCTCCGCAACCAGTCAGGTTTCAGTTTACATCCACGCCCGCCTAAAATTAATATGTAGCCACAACAGTTGATAGTGCTTCAAATGTGGATGTTGTTGCAAAGCTACATATTCAAAAATGTAGATGTTTCACACACATCTCCCCCCAGCAGCACAAAAGATGTATACAAGCAACACAGTTTCAAGGTGGACACCCAAGATTAGTGTCACCAATTCAGTATCTGACCAAATGTCTCCCCTTCCGTTCCTGAGATACGACATTGAAAAATGGCCAAAACGGTGTGTTTGCCATATACTGTGATGCCAAGGTGAAGTTGCCTATTGACCTTTTGGATATAAAATGTCATCACTTTATTATTTTATCCTATTAGACGTTTGTGTGAAGTTTTTTCATAATATGCCTATGAATTCTTGTGTTATGGCCAAAAACATGTTTTGTGAGGTCTCAGTGACCTTGACCTCTGATTACTAAATTCTAACTGGTTCATTCATGAGTCCAAGTAGACGTTTGTGCCAAATTTAAGAGAATTCCCTCAAATCCTTCTTAAAATATCAAGTTCATTAGAATAAGATGGATGCAGGGTCACAGTGACCTTTGACAACCAAATTCTAATCCATTTACTGTGCATATAAATGAAGGATTGAGCAGTGTAACAGCAAATTTAAATCATGTATGTGCTCAGACTATCACCTGGGTTAAACTGTGTGGAAAATGTAAAATAGCACATTTTGTCAAATGGTATAATTTTCTGTTTTTTGCATCAGTCCAAAGTAGTTGTTGTCCACCCATTTTCCACCTAAAAATACCAATGTATCTTAAGCCCTCTTACAGCACTTGAAGCTACAGTGCTGTTGTATCCAACAAAACAAAAGTTTTGAAAGAAAGAAACAATGTACTTGTGAATTTGCTATTATTAATAGAGCCACAAAAGTAGTTTGGTTAAGGATATAAAGCCTGAAGGTGGCACATGAGAAAAGTTTATGAGGTAATTTAAAACTCTATTCCATTAGGAAACAGGATGTGCTCAACTGTCATTGCAAAATGCCCTGCCCAAACTTCACATTTTGGCTTAAACATATAGTAAGTAGAAAGACAATTTGTTCAAAATGAAAAAGGTTCATCCTCTGGGGAAAATAAATGTGCTTAACATATTTCAGTGATCTGCTGGATATATTAATTTTTGTTAAATGATTGTTAAAACCTGGTGGTGGCACTTAAGGAAAAGATCCAACATCCAAAACAAACGTAATGGAAATTTAGCCCTAGCTTTTGAACTGCCTTGCCCTGGATGAAAATGCTGGTGTAAGAAAATTTATGGTCTGACAGTGGCGTAAAAAGAAAGGTCAGAATAACAAGAATTCATTTTCTGGGGACCCTGAACATCCATAACAGGACAAAAGTGCTGGATGGACAGACTGCCACCCTCAAACTATCGTTTTATCTTTGGAGGTAAATTACAGTAAAACTATCACAGGGGGTCTGAGAGTTGAAATAGGTTTTTTACCCTCTCTGAGGCGCTGGCAAGTTTGGTGGCCGAGGCGTTGAAGGTGAGAGCTGCCACAGGACTGTCATGAGCCGGGATCATGGTCACTGTGTTCTGAAATGACCAAGAGGGTGATACACTGGACAGGAAAAAGAGTGTTATTCCATACTGAAATTATGTTCATGCCACTAAGATGAGATGAATTTCCATCTAGCTGCAGTTTGTTTATCATAGAGAGGCATCAAATTAAAAAAAGTAAAATCCAGAAATTCAGAATTTTCCAACAGTGAAATGGTTTACAGTCTCCTGAAAGAAACTGTCATTGATAAAGAAATTATATGATGTAATTGTAATGGAAACCATTGGTCAAATAAATAATATCACAGGCTTGGCCTGCATTGTTTTTTATATAGTAGAATTTGGGTCTTTTGGTAATAATCCTCTTAATTTACATATGATTTAAACTTACAATAGAGTCACATGTTGTTATAATGCCAAAAGTTTAAAACTGTGGGGGAAGCTAAACAGATTTTTTTGTGATGGCTTCAATACATTACTGTCAAAAGACACTTTAAACGCCAACACATTGATTGTGTGATTTGCCACCAAAAATATTATTAAAAAAGTGCATGGCTGCACTTGGTTGTCCAATTAACACCTGATATAAATTAGAATTCTGGCTGATGGTGAGGACTCATCATGTTTTTATGTTTTGGACTACACTGTATATGCCAAGTCTACACACACTGAATAAAATACAACTAACAGTGTAGCTGTTATAACATCAGCTGACTGTGTTCTGTGATGCCATATTTCTTACCAAACTGTTGGCATCATACACTATGATCTCCCCAATAGTGGCACTGCCTGGATAGGCCAGGTAGGAGTTGGAATGGTTGATAGAAAGAGCACAGAGACCTACAGAGGAGAAAAAGGAAAAAGAAACATCTATTGAATGGCAAATGGCGGTTCATGAAAGATGTGGAGCTTGTCAGTCAAGAAACTCAACAATCATTTTTTATGGGCAGAGCACTAAGACTATTAAACCACTCCAACATTCCAAACAAGCAAGGATGAAGAAACTTAATGTGAACAAGGAATGAGCACAGATGTGTTTTACAGACAGTGGCTCAGGGGTCTAAAACTATTGACAATAATACACAACTGGAATTATCCTTTCAAAAGATGTTTCAGTTGACAAACCCAGCTATCACAGTGCCACAGGAAGTGGGTTTGTATGCATTAACAACTTACTTGCAGTTGTTGGTATTAATGTCTTACCAGAGGGATTGATAGGAGTGTTGAGCAGAGTCTTGAGCAGCTTCATATCTTTGATGTTGTGGATATAAATGGACTCTTCAAGGCACACCACGAGCCTCTGCAAGACAGCAGACCTCAGGTCATTCTACTCTAATGTAATACAGTCAGCACTGGCTTATATTACTCATATCAGTGAAATCCCACTAAAAAAAAGTCAATGATCTTAGTTTAGCTTGCTAGCATATAGATTGCACTAAACACAAGGTACAGCCGAGGATGATGGGAATGCCATTACTTTTGCAGGTATTTGGTCATAAACCAAGGTATTGGACACATTTAAAATGTTGACATGGTGATGTCCTCATCCTGAGGAGAACATACATGTACAACATTCTATGGCAATCTTCTCAATGCGTACTGAGTTATATCAGATGGAACTAACATAGTGGACCCACTAACATTGCCCTCCCTTAAAACAAGTCGCCGGTGTGGCTAGTATGTCCATAGTGCACGGCTCCAGATTGCAATCATTTTGTGCAATTTTGCAGCCATTTTCGGAGACAGTGTGTCTGAAGGTGGGTCACTACCAGTGGCTCTATAGGATGCATCTGGTGGACACCATGGGCTTCCATCACCTTACAATCTATCAGCCAGCATACCATGATAGGGTGTTTCTCACTGTATCGCCTATCTTTTCACGTCACTGCAAACTTGTCATGGAGGAAGAAATACCATGAAAATAGCAAACACTTACCTAACCGTCTTTTTCACTTTCTGTAGTTTATTGCTGAAACCAAGATTTTACTAGCCTGGTGAAACCATCCTGATCTCGCGAGCTCATATTGTATTTCGCTCCACAGATCAGTCTGGCCATGGAGTCATAAACGCAAATTCTGGCATCGGTTTTGGCTTACCGGGCCAATCACAACCGTTTATGACTGTGGTGCGGGTTATCTGAAATCATGTCATCAGAATAGGAGGGACAAGGAGTGGAGTGAATGTATTTCATAAACAACCAACATGGCTACTTATTTTGAAACTGCGATGGTATGTGTTGAACGAACTGGAATGTTCATTTTCTTTAAAAGCAGAACAAACGGCTGCACCGAAAGCTTTTATTGAAAAAAAAGATGTGTTTGCCGTCCTTCATACAGGGTTTGGTAAAAGTTTAATTTACCAACTGGCTCCGTTGATTGGGAAAAAGATGGAGCTCATTGAAAACCCAGTGGCTATTGTTGTTTCTCCACTAGTTGCTCTCATGGAGGAGCAGGTCAGGGAAGCGACCAAACTGGGAATCACTAGTGATGTTATGCTCGAGTCACTTTGCTCGACACAGTGTCGATCTTATGAAGCGCGTTTCGATCCCTGCTTTGGCACGCCCACAATCACGTGACTACTGAAAGCGAGGCCTTGTTAGAGGCTTTTCCAGGTCTTCCACTTAGATGCCGTTCTGACACACAGCCAGCAGATGTCACTCTTCTGACTGTTGGAAATGCTTCGAAGCAGTGTGTCATTCTTGAAGCAGTTGTGTCAAAGTGTTTCACTGCTTCATGAAGCTTCGATTTCACCATCACTAGGAATCACAGCCATGCAACTCGGAGTCCACAGTGTGGAGGAAATCTGCAAAGACGGCAACACTCTATCCTAAATATCATCACAGCTCATCTCCAGTGCATGCTGCACTTGCTTGCTGGTCTGTTTACAGTGGCGTTGTGCTAGCCTAAGTCACACGTTTTGTTTACTCTGATTGGTTTTCCGTCTTTCCAATTGCGTGAAGGGGCACTTTGAGTGACAGCTGTTGATACCGCCCTTCGGGAATAGAGGAAATGTACAGTCTGTATCCAGACCCATTCACGTTTTGCAAATTGGGTCTGGCAATGCCAGGCTAAGATTTTACACCCTCCACTTAGACAACAGGCATGGAATGCTAAGTAGCTGCACACTTATACATGTCCTGGATGTCAAGATCCAGAGGAGAAAATGGAGAAGTTTGGTTACCTTCCTTAGCAGCGAGGGGCTTTGCAGCCCTGCGAGTGCTGCCTAGGAAGGTAAATTTCTCCTCACTGTCATCAAATAGGAAACTTCAAATCGGCCAACTTTCCCCCACCATCATCATCATCTCCTTTTAGAATGGCATGAGCAGCAGCGATGCCTTTGTAACCCTTATCTGTCTCTTGTGACATGAAAAAACAGGGGCCAGGAGCAGGGGGTCTGCCTCCACCCAGCTTGGTCCGGGTGTAGAGGCCAAGCCTTCTGACATATCTGCTTCTCCCTGCAGCACAGTTTCATCACACATAGGTGGGCCCCCTCTCTTTACTGCTGGCTAGCTTGGCAGGTCTTCCAGCAGTGAAGTAGTGTGTGGGAAAAGCAACGCAGTGAATACACTCGTAGGTGGAGGTTAAAGCAGCCTAAGCAAGGGGTAAGCCCAGACGTGCCGCATACTCTTTATCTTTATCTTTCTTTATTCACACACACACACACACACACACACACGTTTCCTTAGAACATGGCAGGAGGTTACAGTGTGCGAATCAGGTCTCCCGAAGGAGCTATCTAAAGCTTATAAAGGGAGACTGGGGTACATAAATAACAATTTACAATATACTAACAATACATAACATAACAATACACAACATCATACATACCATATACATCACAATTCTAGTTTTCTCAGATCAGTTAGATGTAGGACCTACAAGTGGTGTCAAATATATGAACTGTCCTTTAACAGTTTTTTGAAGGTAGAGATGGACATTTTTAAGCTCTCATCGAGCTCGTTCCAAATCTGCGGGCCCCTGCAAGCAATGGTCAGACTGGTGTTTTTAAGTCTTCTGTTTTTTACCATAGATAAGATGTTTTTTCTGGTATTGTAAATGTGCTGAGGACTGCAGATTCGAAAAAGCTCAGACAATCTATTATTTATTTTGTTTACAATTTGAAACATCATACACGTATTTTGGTACACATTTAATTCTGTTAGACACAGGGCTAGTGTCCCAGATAGATATTTCATTTGCTGCAGGAAGAAAGCTTTGGCCTTTTCCCAACCTCACTAGGGTAGTTAGCTGTAGCCATGGTTTGCTAGTGGGTTGTAGATGCTAGTGGGTTTGTGAATTTGCTTAACAGCTTGTGCAGCAACTGAGTGGAATAAGGTTGGAGAATATCGCTATTTTCCCCACTAGCATGGGGGCAAAAAGAAGTACTACTTTTTTGGAGGCACTGCTCCCTGTGATGTATTGCTACCTGTTGGGACGTATTGCTAACACCACCTGCTACGAGGTGTTGTCACATTTTGATATTGCTAATAGTAACTTTATTCGCAAAAGTGTTACTACTTTGGAAAATATACCAAGTTAAAGGTATTGCTACATTACACCAAAACTAGATGTAGAAGAGTTTTGCTACTGTTTGTAAACTAGTTTGTGAACTGTATAGCTGGGAACAAAGCATTATCAGAGTTATGCACTGCTATCCACTGTCTGTGGATAGTTTAGCGTAGCACCCAATAGCACAGTTTTCAACAGGCTTCTGCAAGAAGCGAGAAGAGGTTTCTGAATGACAAGAGGTGCTTATGTCAGCCAAATATATAGGAGGAGGGTCACATCTCATCCTAACATAGGCTTCACAAGTGCCAGCCAATTAAGGCTGACATAACATTATTTGATCTTCTGACAAGGTTACGCGGAAAGTGTTCCCCATGGTGAGACATGATATGAATGCTATGACAGAGGACTGCCAGTAGGCTTGGACAGTATCAGAGTATTGGGGTATACCAGGTGGTTTAGAAATCCTGACAGATGCTCCTACAGATGCTCATCTGTCTATTAACCTCATACTGGAAAGGTTGTAATAAAGATGTGTGCAGAAAGCGCTATACATAAATATCGTCATATACTGAATACCAGGGGGAAATTCCAGGTATGAGGGTACAAAAAAATATAGTAAGTGGAATGCACTTGTGTAGCGCCTTTCTAGTCTTCTGATCTTTCTAGTCTTCCGACCACAAGTCACATTCACCCGTTCACACACACATTCATACACTGGTGGCTGTGGCTATCATACAGGGTGCCATCTGCTAATCAGTTTTTAACTTACACACTGATGGAACAGCCCTCAGAAGCAATTTGGGGTTCAGTATCTTGCTCAAGGATACTTTGATCAAACTGCCCATCTTCCAACTAGTGGACGACCCGCTCTACCCTCTGAGCCACAGCAGCCCAAAATAGATACCACCTAAGCCTAACTGCCAGTGTCATAACTGTAATCTGCATAGTGCTGTGCATCCAGAGGAGTTCATGGGATGGGGTGTGTTTTTAAACTTGGAGATTTGCACTTCTACATGTGCTGCAGCTCACATCTCATTCAGAATGCAAATGATGGTGAGCAGGTTTTAAAGACACAAGGGCAAAAAAGATGCTTCAGCAACATGGATGTTTTTGACCAAGAGGCTTCCTATGTGAATCAGTTCCTACATATGATGAATTACATGGAAACACACTAATATTTGAGGGTTGTTGGTATGAAATGGGGTAGCTCACCTGTCTGTTAAGCTTGATAGCCAGGATGTTGTTGGGATAGCTATAGTTGCAGATCTCTGTCCCCTTCTTGAAGTGATAGATGTTCATGCGCTGTGGCATGGTGGTGCTCACCATGACTATCAGACTGCTGGAGAATAGACGCTCCACGATGTAGACATCTGGAGTCTCTGCTGGGGAAGAACAGGGGGCAGACAGACAGGCAGTGATGACAATACAGCTTTAATGTCGACAAATCAAAACTATCTCTTAGACCCAGAAGGCCACCTACAAATTTTCCCTCAAAAGAAATACAGCCATTCTAACCACTTCAACCCAGATGTTCTCTTTAATTTCAGGTCAGAAGAAATAATTTCCCATGCTGTGTGACGCTGTATTCTCTATTCACTATATATTTGTTATTCAGGATCCTGGGGGCCTGAGGGTCGAAGCTCTTCGGGTCGACCCTTCAAATACCTGTGCGACAGGTAAAGCTGCAGAGGTCTCCATCAGTATCCATCAATGCTTCATTACAGGCTTAAATTGTATCATGGAAAACTGGAAAGGTGGATGGATCAGAAACAGCTTTGAGGTTATCGAAATTTTAACAATTTCAGGTTACCTGTCACCTGCTGGCAAATAAATTTATTATGAAATCTGTCATATTAATTTAGGTGCATTATATCTACAGCCTGATCAATATATTGTATAGCAAATGTTTTCGTTGAATATGACTTACTGCAGTTGCAGATGTTTCCAGTCACCTCTCTGTGAACTGTCAATTTTGGGCTAATTATGCTCTAATGTCTATTTTGCAAGTCTTGGTAGCGCCTTTTGTGGTTGGTGTTGGACAGTGTTGGTGTGTGCCTGCAAGTCACTCATAGGGATGAGGAAATCCATTCATCAGTCTATAAACTCTCCTCCTGCCAATCTCTGCTAACAAGCCATGTTGAGGGTTTTTTAAATGTAAACATCAGTAAACATCCAGGAAAAGATGGAGAAGATGGGAACCAGCTGAACTAGTATCCTGCTGGCCATTGCACAGACACTGGATAATAAACTGGACGACCTCCATGTTGCATCAGTTTCCAACAGGATATCAGAACCTTTTATATCTTTTGATTTGCTTAAACTTGGCTAAATCCTGGACAGCGCCTCTCAAAAAGGAGGCTCTTTTCTATATGCTGATCTGGTAGAGCAGAGGACTGTGGGAGAGTGCTTTACAGTGAATAAGGACTGGTGTGACAGTGGGAATGTGAAGTGCTGTCCTGTTCCTGCTGCGGATCACTGCTATACACCACTCAGAGGCATGTGCAGTGCGGCACTGCCCGTGTTCAGCAGGAGCGACCATACAACCGTCTTGCTGAAGTCAGGGTGTGTGGGCAGTTAAATTATTTCACAAGCAGAAACGATGGATTACCAGAACCATCCAGCAACATGGACAATTATAAAGCAGCAGTTAACAATGTAAGAAGATGCAAACAAATGACAAAATACAGTGCACAAGTTAAAGGAGATGATGGGATCACATTTCACTGGAGTTGTATGTTTATAAATCCATGTGACATATAAATGACTGATTATTTGATTGATCAACCAATTTAGTTTATCACAAATATCAGTATCGGTGGATATGTCGGCCAATAAGTAACAAAAGTTGCAGTGCAGAAATGCCAAAAACATATTGATCAGATTTGGATCTGATGTTTAAATTGCCAAATATAGATATATCTACATAATCCAATATCAGCTAGACTTTAAATTGTTGTGCTATAATCCTTTTAAATAATGAATCATGCTCTGACACAAAGCCCCTTGAGGCAAATTTGTGATTTGTGATATTGGGCCATGAACATTAATTTGACTTGACTTGACACAAATGCTCAATAACGTTAAGCTTTTTAATATAACCTTCCCAGCATGCCAAGTTGACATATGTCATCCAGCACACCAGACTGGACCTGACACTGGACACTTTAGCCAAAACACACCCAGTCTGGGGAAACTCTCTTCTTCTTCACTGCCATGAGAGGCTCCTGCCAAAAGCACTGAGCACTGTGTGATTACAGCAAGCTCAGCCTTGTCTGAGAGTCTGAGAGTGACTGTAGCTTTCCAGCCAAATGGAAATGTTAAGCATATTTATAAAAGTAAAGAAAAAAAAAAAGAAAAAGTGCTGATCAGTATTTCAGCTCACTAGACAATCAGAACATTAATTTTCCAGATGTGTTACAAACTGACAGAATATCAAAAGAACTCCAGTCACTCTTCTATAACTCTGGAGCATCACTGCATACCACTGCTGCCTCCCACCTAATATAGGATCTTTATTATTTTCATAAATTCATGTTTAACCATACTTCTGACATGGCTCTGTGGATAGTACTGTTGGTTGTTTGGCTGCTACATTTCTCTAATTTTTTAATGAGAAACAGCTCAAATACACAACACAACACCTACTCCTTTGCACTTTCACATTGTGACATGCATATGTGTTACCAAATTTACAAAATTTGCTAATACTGTAGCTGGCTTCTGTAGAACATTTCTAAGATTCCATCCTTTGTTGTTTTGTTTTTGGTTTTCTTTTGACAACTTAAAAGATGGCAAAAATGATTAGCAGTGGGGGTGGGAATCACCAGAGGCCCACCGATCTGATACTAGCATGATACTTTGGTCACAATACAATATTATTGCAATATTAAATGTATTGCGATATGTTGAGTATTGTGATAGATATACTGACTTATAAACATTTTTCAACTGCAAATTAAGGAAAAACTTTGTCCACATCTGTTCTTATGTAGTAAGATCACGTTTTTGTTCATCTCACTTTAATCATTTTTATGAAAGCAACATGTGTCTAGTGGACTGAAAATACAATTTATGTCATTACTCTATTGGGCTACCAAAAGTTTCATTTGTAGTTGCAATATTTATAATTTATATTATTAAAAAATTGAGAAATGGTGTTCGTGTATTGATACAATATTGCCACACAAAATATAGCAATACTATGCTGTCTCAATTTTTTTCCCCCACCGCTACTTAGCACCCAGACATCCATAGCCCTCAATCAGTCCTGTTTTTGGGATTGTTGTGGCCTGAAATGTCTGACTTCACTGCACCTTTTCTAAAAAACTGTGATGCATGTTGCAATGATTATAGGTGTTTTTTGCGATGAAATTGTGGGGGCAATTTTGCAAGTGAAAATTTCAAAAACAGTTCCAATGCTGACACGGATTCTAAGCCAATTATTATGAGCTAACACAGCACAACATGATCTCACTCCAACTTGTCATATTTTGCCACTTGGGCAGAAGCCCTGTAGCAGTGGTTAACATCTGACACTGAGTTGTTAATCTCACACCGACACATAAATGACTAAGTTATTAAACCTGTTAATAACCACCACGTAATGTTAGCCATGTGAGGCTAAGGATTAGCCCTGTCACTGTGTGTGTGACTCTGAATTTGTGTTTGTGTTCTCACCCAGGTGCACATCATGCCATGGGTATATTTTGATGTAAAAATGCGACCAAGAGTTGTATTTAGCATTTTCATGTATATTCTTTGTTTTACAAGGTAGCAGTAGAGGTGAATTAACAGTTGTTAGGTTAACTCATGGCAAGAGAGGGATTCAGAAAAAAGTTTGTTTGATGGAAACAGATTAACCTTAATAGGAGTTTAACTAGAGATTGAAAAATAAACAGAGTATGCACTGTGGGTACATGTAACATTTTCAGTATTTTCAGTCTTTCAATAACTCTGTGTTCCTTTCAGTGAAACCTGAGGTGGTGAGTCTAGGACAGATGAGCTAACACAACAGCTTGTGTAGAAGTAGTGCACAAGTGTATAAAAGTGGAAAAAAATGTTTGTCCTTTTTGTCATATAAAACTCAATGATCCATCAGGGATATATGGATGATTCTGGTGTTCATGCTGTCATCATTTAATGGCTAAACTGATGCCATTGGAAGGATGTTTAGTCCATGCTGATGCAAAGTCTAGAGTTAGAGCTCCATACTAACCACTCTCATTGATACAGTCCAAATTTTCCACCATGGTCAGAGAAAACAGCTTGTAGCCAGTCTTTGTTCCCACAGCCAGTGACCTGCAACATAAACACAAACATGTACATGCTGTATATCCACCATCAGTACAACTGCAACACATCTACAAAGCTTTAAAGGGATAGTGCACCCAAAAATGAAAATTCACCCATTATCTACTCACCCATATGCCGATGGAGGCCCTGGTGAAGTTTTAGAGCCTTCACATCCCTTGCGGAGATCGGCGGGGGGAGCGGCTAGTACACCTAATGGCAGACGGCGCCCCAGACTAACGTCCAAGAACACAAAATTGAATCCACATAGTATCTCCATACTGCTCATCCTTAGTGATCCAAGTGTGCTGCAGCCCCGACATAAAAAGTTGTTTCGTCATATGAACTGTTTTTAGCCTCATCGTAGCCTGTAGCTCTGACTGCTTCTCTGTGCTCCGCGTTAATGTGTGCACGCCTGCGCGAGACCAGCGAAAGCATGAGCTTTGCTCACCCGTGTTTGCATCACGTGACACGTGCACCACAGGGGGAGACAACAGTAACCACAGTAGCTAAAAGATAATTTGCACTACGTTAGCAAAGAACAGCCCAACATGTCTGAAGACTTTGAAATTGAGGAGGAACAGCATTTCTTTGTTGAGCCGTATTTGTTTGAGCCCGAGTATACGGACGGAACTCAGGCTAGTGGATGAAGCAGCCGCCGCAGCTCATGAGCCTCAGCCAGCTGCAGAATACCGGAGTTGAGCACTGGAAACCTGGTGGTGTAGTTGTTTCAAATGCAAAGCAATGCCATCGGATGAGGAAAGTCTTTGCTGTTCAGACTGGTATTTGGCGATGCCTGCACTTGAGAATCTGGACATCAGTACTGATGAGACTGCTGTTCTTCAGAGACCGTGCATCACCGATCACCCTGAGCGTGCACACATGACCGCGGAGCACAGAGAAGCAGTCAAAGCTACAGGCTACAGTGAGGCTAAAAACAGAGTTCAAATGATGTTTTTCGAAACAACTTTTTATGTTGGGGCTGCAGCACACTTGGATCACTACGGATGAGCAGTATGGAGATACTTTGTGGATTCAATTTTGTGTTCTTGGACGTTAGTCTGGGGCGCCGTCTGCCATTAGGTGTGCTGGCCGCTCCCCCCGCCGAGCTACGCAAGGGGGATGTGAGGACTCTAAAACTTCACCAGGGCCTCCATCGGCATATGGGTGAGTAGATAATGGGTGAATTTTCATTTTTGGGTGCACTATCCCTTTAATTAATTTCTCTCACTATTTAATTTACAGCCATTCTCAGCAGGGAAGGAATAAATCTATCAAATTCTGTTGCACTCCACCTGAATATTCAGGGGAAATCTGATATGAGGGGGTTTGGATTCACTCCTGATCATCACACTCTCCCTGATACTTGCTATATAGAGCCCTCTAGTGGTAAGAATTGTCATGTACAAAAAGTAAGCTTTTGTGGGAACAAAGGGATCAGCTTAAGTTGTAATCAAACAACCCTCACAGCTCATCAAAGTGGTTCAGTCTACTACCTACGTTTCTCCAGAGCATCTAATAGCCTTCCTAAGTGAATGAATTCTGCTCAGTGGTCATAGAGATGTAGTAATTTTGATCACAGATGACTCATGGTATTTGCTGAGCAAGACCACTGGAAGCAGTTAAAAGCAAGGTGTACAGTCAGTAGGTCAAGCTTAGGTTAAAGGTGCATTTCACATTATTAATATTTCAAGTTCAGTTTAGTCATCTCAAAGAGTACCACTCAGCTTGTGAAAACAGTTGTATAATTATCTCCGCCAAGGAGGTTATGTTTTTGCCGGCATTGGTCTGTTTGTTTGTCTGCAAAATAACTCAAATAGTTATGAATGGATTTTGATGAAATTTTCAGGAAACTGGATAATGGGACAAGGAACAGATGATAATATTTTGGTGGTGATCGGCTGAAGCAAAGTGGATAAAATAATGAAAAATAAAGTCTATCGTCTAACAGCCAATTTCTAAATAGTGCCATCTGGTGGCCAGAAAGCACGTCTTGTTCTACTTGCTAAATATTGTTGTAATTCTAAAGTTGAAATTAATGTTCTGTGTTGGAAAAAAAGAAAGTGAAAAATACAAAAAAACATATTATATTCTGTGTTGGTACAAAATAAAAACAAAATAAATACACCACAGTGTCTCCATGGTGAAGGCATATATAACCTAATATATATATAATAATATATATATAATAATGCAAATAACCTAATTGTGATGCAGGCTGCAAAATCTGATGCAGAGGGGGAGGGAATATCACCTACTTGGCGGAGGTCTGCACTCTCTGAGTGCTTTTCTGAGTGCTCTTTCTTTTCCTCTGTGGTTCAGCCAAAGACTGCTCCTTCCCAAGTGCAGGACTATCAGACTGTACAACTCCTTACTCGGGGGGAGGAGGAGTAACAGGAAGACAGAGGATGGGAAGGAGCAGTAACCAGCAGCCTGTAGCCACTACAATAAGGAATATAATACGCATTACTTATTTTCTCTGTATATATCATATCTATATCATATATCTTATATTTATATTTTGCAAATTTTGTTTTTTTACTTTTTACGTTTTGATACCCTGTGTGCTCTTTACCCTGTGTGCTGCTGTCCAATACTGCTGGAATCTTAATTTCCCTGAGGGAGTCTTCCCAAGGGATTAATAAAGTTCTATCTAATCTAATCTATCTAATCTAATCTAATCTGGAAGATTCAAGTCAGACAAAATATGTTGATGTCATCAGGGTTATCTTGATTTCGGCTTAAGACCTAAAACTTTTCATAGAAATCCTGCATTATAATGGTGCTGTAGGGTTTTAAAGAAATATGCATTTAGTAGGCAGGGATAGTTTAAAGGGATACTTTGGATGTGATACTTTAGATGTTTATGAAGTGGGGTTGTATGAGGACCTTTTCCAAATCAATGTATTACCTACGATAGATGTCTGTCAGCACACCCCTACAGTATGGAAAAGTGTCAGGAGTGCCAAAATGGAAGCTTAGCACTGTACTGCTGTGGATGGGGGGCATCAGCAAAACATATTTTAGCCACCTTAAAAAAAGTCCCACCTAAAAAAGTCAGTATCAGTTTAAGTGTGCGCTATATTTCACTGCTATACCCTTCCGTGGGACAGCCCATTTTAACAGGGAATCTGTTAACAGCTTCAGTTCCACATCTGTGCTCTCTTTAAAGCTACCAGACTCCTTTGACAAAAACAGTAATTTTAGCTCGCTGAAAACAGGAGCAGCTGATCTATCACTGCTATCATCAGTTAGTTAGTTTGTGTTATTGTGTGACTTTGGTGAATCTAATCTAACTGCTGAAAGTGCCCACACAATACAAAACAAACTAACTGATAAGAGTCAACAGAAGACCAGCAGCTCCTGTGTTCAGTTATGTTAAATCACTGTTTTTCTCAGTGGAATCTGGCTTTTAGAGCGATACAATGGCTTCATTTCCCTGACGGATATTGCTGTTTAATGGAAAGGTAAAGCAGTGAAAATACACTCAATATAGCATACATTTAAACTAATATTGATTTTTTTAGGTGGCTAAAATACATTTTATTCCTGACCATGTCTACACCAGTAAACTGTCTTTCTAGTCCTCGAAAAACAACAATGCATCACTATAACAAAACTGAGATACAGATCCAAGACACAGCACAAGTGGATCATTGCTCTATTGTGGTTAGAGATGCCACCAGCACCTTCTGATGTGTATAACCCATGTAGTGCTTCCTTTGCATAAGTCAAGTAGGATGTGTGGTTCCCTGTTCAAGTTCGGCTCTATCCCGGAACTGTTCATCTCACTGCCTGCTTAGATATCCAGAGATCCTGACTGGAGTAGCACCCAGCCCAAACCTCCAATTCAGGAGTTGCAGGTCAGGGGACCTATTTTAGAGTCTTCTTTTGATTCTGTTTGTTTAGTTGATTTAAATAGCACCCACTGGCCCTTTCTTTTCCCTATTATATTTATATTTGAGAAAATATAAGTTCCTCATTAATCAAAAAATTCAGTTCCAACTGGTTTTACAGTGCTTCACTTCCCCTCGGTAGCTGGGTCCAAAAATTGATCTATGATTTAAAAACATGCCCTGAAATGGATTTCCAATTGGTGCGCAACACCAGGGCAAAAATGAAAAACATTTTGTCAAGGTGAGACATTTGTAAATGCTCACCTGTTGCCATAGCCCTCAGGACCACACATTAAAAGTTCATTTGATGTCTTGTCAAACAAGCTAACCAACTTCCTGTCACTCCCTGTCTCTTACCTGCTTGCTTACCTGTCTCTTTTCACACCAGTCATTTTCTTAATGGCCACCTGTGCCCTCATTCCCCACCATGAGATGTGTACATTCCTGTCCTGCCTCATCCTGTTTCTGAGCAGAAGCAAACCTGCAGAACTCTGAAGAAGATACAGCACGTTTCTGCTGCTCATGCACAATCATCTCATTTTGTGACAGATGCGTCTTTTTTCTCTGATCTCCTCCTTAGTTTGTACAGAGTTGATTAATATAAGAGAGAGGACTGAGTAATTACAGTATCTCACATAAGTGAGTACACCCCTCCCATTTTTGGAAATATTTTATTATATCTTGTCATGAGACAACACTATAGAAATGACACTTTGATATAATTTAAAGTAGTCAGTGTACAGCTTGTATAGTAGGATAGATTTACCTTCCTCTGAAAATTACTCAAACCACAGCCATCAACATCTAAACAGCTGGCAACATAAGTGAGTACACCCCACAGTGAACATGTCCAAATTGTGCCTTAAGTGTCAATATTTTGTGTGCCAACCATTATTATCTAGCACTGCCTTAACCCTTTTGGGCATGGAATTCACCAGAGCTCACAGGTTGCTTCAGGAATCCTCTCCCACTCCTCCATGATGACATCATGGAGCAGATGGATGTGAAGACACCTTGCGCTCCTCCACCTTCAGCTTGAGGATGTCCCACAGGTTCACAGGTGAGTTTAGGGCTGGATACATACTTGGCCAGTCCATCACCTTCACCTTCAGC